TCGGTGATACCGGTCTTCAGATCTTCAGGGAGCTGGGCTCCAATCTTCACGACTCTCTCCGGCTTGGCCGGATCGAGCGCAAAGTCTTCTACGTCCTCGGCTGGTTCAGCCCTCGGCCTCTTGTCTTCCTCGTCGATGGTTCCAGTGATGGTGTCAACACGGAATTCCATCTTACTTACTTTCTTCGTGACTTGAAGATAGCAAGCGCGGGCAATTTTCTGATTCCCCCGGGAGCAGCCAATGCCCCCCTCGGCGGGGAACTTGAGGCAGAGGTGCCTCATGGAGATGACGGCCTCGAGGTCCTCGAGGGCTGGCCGGCCGAGGATGATGTTGTGGGCGCAGTCGATGTTGACGACGACGAACTCCACTTCGAGCTGGGCTTTATGGAGCCCGTCGCCGAAGATTACCGGGAGGGTTATTACCCCCTCGGAATCAATAGTATCGCCGGTGAAGCCGGCAAGAGGGGTCTTAATGGGCCGAAGGGACCCCTCTCCAGATGCAGCTCTCTAAAGGTGCTGAGGTACATTACATTGACGGAGCTGCCCGTGTCAATGTAAGTTCGGTGAATGATGGTGTTGTTTATTTCAGTCCGAATCACCAAGGCATCCCTGTGAGGAGAAGAAGTAGGAGGGAGATCTGGGTTCCTCCCTCAGCCGCTTTACCGGGGGCATATGGGTGACTTCCCCCACGTAAAGCGATTGAGCCCACTTTTTCCGCTGGCTGGTGGAATCGCCCCCTGTATTGCCACCGATGATCATGAGGATGTGGTGTTTTTTCTCCTGGTAGTGGGGGTACTCCTCCTCTTCCTCCTCCAAGTTTCCGATCTCCCTCTTCTTGCCGAGGGGGATGGTAATCGGGTTCACCCAAGCGTTCACCTTCGTGTGGTGCCCTCGGGGAGGTCCCTGATGAGAAGGCCCCTCCTGCCGAGGGCTCCGGATAAATTGGGACAGATGGCCCGCTTGTATCAATCTCTCGATGGCCGTCTTTAGCTGATGGCAGTCATCGGTTCTGTGCCCCTGATGCCGATGGAAACGACAGTAGGGGAACTGAGGGTTGATAGCATGTACCTCCGGGGGTGCGCGAGAATCGCGCTCAACGAGGCCCCTCTCCTCGGCAAAATCAAGGATGATGCTGACGGGGTGCGTCAGTGGTGTCCGGGGGCGGTCCAGGAGAATGGGCTGTGCCCAAGTCTTAGGGCTGTTCTTATAACCTCCCCCGGGCTTGGCTTGGCCTTGCCGAGGGCGGTCATCAGAGGGTCCTGAAGCCTTGGGCCGATTTGGAGGAGCCCCTGGCCCCCGGTTGTTCTTGTTGTCAGCCTTCGGGGGTTGCTGATCCGGATGCTGGTGGTATTTCTCCACCTCCTCGGCCTCGGCATATCGGTCCCCCCGCTGCAGGGCCCTTATGTAGTCGCGGGGGGTTCAATGATGAGGCTCCTTGAAAAGTTGCCGGTGCGGAGGACGGTTTGTAGGAGGGCCAGGAGGGTCCCGTCGTCAGCACCGTCGACTTTGTCGGCATCCGTTCTCCAGCGCTCCAGGAAGTCCCAAAAGGTCTCATCCCTCCTCTGGCGTATGGTTAGGAGGTGGGAGAAGTGCTTCCTTGTGCGACGCCTCCCGGCGAATTGCGTCAAGAATCGCTGGGCGAGTTCTTGACACGAATCAATGCAGCCTTCGGGCAACCGGTTGAACCATTCGTATGCCGGCCCCTCTAAGGTGGAGAGGAACCAACGACACAAATATTCGTCCGACGCCCCTACCATCATCATGCTGTTATGATATTTGCTGTAGTGTTCCTGGGGTCCGTCTTCCCGTTGTAGGGCTGTATGTGTTGCCCTCGGTATTTTTCCGGGATCCGGGCCGCCAATACCCTTGGGGTGAATGGCGTCCGGGTCCGGAGCTGGATAATGGGTTCCTCGGAGCCCTCGGCTACCTTCTTCTGCAATTCCTCCATTTTGGCCATCATGGCCTCGTATTTGAGGTCTGAATGAGGGGTGGAGGTGGTGGCGTGAGCTTTGTTGGCCTCCATTTCCTCAAGTCGGCGTTGGAGGGCCGCAATAATTTCGTCCCGGGGGTCCTTCGGGAGGGTCTCCGCCCCCTGCGAACGAACCCGGGCCGAGTGGGCCTGGTTGATTTGGTGGCGAGCATCGTCGGCATGAAGGGGTGCCTTGCCTTTGTCCCGAGGAGGACGCTCCTCGTCTGCCCTCGAGACAGACCCTCCGCTCTCCTGGGGCCTCTGGAGTGCCTTTCCTCCGAGGCGGTCTTGGACCCCTCGGCGATCTTGCCCTCCTCCGAGTCGGTTGAGGGCGGAAGTGCGGGGCCTTTCCCTGTTGTTATTGTGGCGGTCCCGGGACTGAACTTCCTGGGAGGCCGTATCTTGGGCCACTACCCCTTCGTCATTCTCAATCCGGGGGATGGGGTTTCCGAAGGGGTGGGGCAGAGGGGGAAGCATGATGTTTTCCCCAACCTGGGGTTGAGCCGGAGCCAGGGTGCCGAAGGCACCCGGGTTCTGAGTGAGCGTCTGGATGAAGGCGGAGAGCGCCGAATGAACGTCGATGGTGAGAACCGGAGGGCTGACTTGGTCATCGCTCCGGTTCTTCTTCTTGGCCTCGATGCCGAGGCGGGCATCGGGGGCATTCTGCTGGATCTGAAGGCGTAGGTCGACAGCCGCCTGTTCCAGCCCAGCGATGACACCGCCCTCGGGAGCCCTGTGAGAGGCTTCGGGGGCGTTGACGTCGCCGAGGGCCAGGTTCTTGTCTTCTACGTTTTTGGAGTTGGCACGTGTAGTTCTCACCATTTTGGTAGAGGGCTAGTGTTTGGCGAAGGGGGAGGGTTTCTTACTCGATTGTTCGACCTCTCAACGAGAGCACCAAATGATGGATAGTGTACCCGGGGGGTAGCTTATCCGAGGGGTTATTACGGGGAGTAATAAGAGAGAAGCCAGAGCAAGTAAATATAGAGAGAGAAAGTATACTATAAAGTGTGGAGCGTTTTCAGCGTGGTTACAAATGGGGAAATGGGGTGCTATTTATAGTAGCAATAAATGCCGGACAGGGACACGTGTCAAGCGCCCATTGGCCGAGAGGTCACCTCAACTGGTTGGCACTGGCAGCCGCATGTGGCCGCATTTAATGCGACTGTTGGATGAGACGTTTGTACAGGGTACGGTGATCTGTACGCATGTGGTGCGGATATCATGTCGGGAAAGGTGCCCTCGGCTGTAGAGGACTAACCGAGGGCTCTGAGTACTGGGGACCCTCTTGGTGCCGAGGGCTCCAGGTGCCGAGGGCTAGTGATTTTCGCCGTTTTCCCCAGTCATCTTGTTTTCCTGTTTTGGCCCTCCTGTGGGAGTTAGAGCCCTCGGCCAGGGGGGCGAAGGTGCCCCTGGTGCGCATTGTGGGCTGCTTGGTACTCTGGGCGCTGTGATTTGGGCCTGTTGGGCCTTGTTTGGAGTAGTAGGAGTCTGTGGGCCGGGGGTTCCCGGGCCATATACTCCATCAACTAAAAATGTCAATATTATAATAGTTGAAGTACCAAAAGTGTTACTTTTATGAAAGTTGAAGGACTAAATATCAAAATTTTCAAAGACGGGTACCAAAAATGACTCTAGCGCAATAGTTAAGGACTAAAAATGGAAAAAATCAAAATCGAGTACTAAAAGTGTCAATGACATAATAGTCGGATGACTAAAAGTGGAAAAAACTCTTATAGAAAATGAGGTGTAGTAAATAGTAATTGTGATAATTATGATTCAATCTTATGGTATCTTTTCTTTGTGATGTACCTAAATGAATACAACTTTTTACTCCATATTTGTAAGGGAAATTTTCTAGAATATGATACAAATATATTGAGTTTCCTAAATATGAGTATATGACTATGTTTATCTTTAGACATTCATACAAATGAAAAACAAAACAAAAATACGATCATATTAAAATGTTGAATGACGAAAATAACTTGATTAAAAAATGCATTTTGCACTACTTTCGATCCATCAGATATATTACATTTCATGAGAGCATTATTGCACGACATTATTGTACTTCAGGTTAGAATCATTGCACTAGTTAAGAGCATCTCCGATGCTCTTGGTCTATTGCATGTGACATGGCCAATTCATAGACAAAGTCTATTAAAATAGTGGGCCCATTATTACAAAAAGGAAGGTGCATTGCATACATCTCCTGTGTGGAACAAGGCCAATATAAATGTAAAAGCAAGATAAAAAAAATGAGAAATAGCTTAGGGAGTAAACGAAATGAGCGGTTTTCCATACACATAGGCCCACCACTTTCATTGACTTTGTGCTAGACCTTGCTCTTTTACCACATAAGATACATTGCGGAGGTGGAATCATAATTCTATCTCACCATTGGAGATGTCCTAGCATTACTTCTTTTCTCACCCACATTAGGAATTTACAGCTCTTTTTTATTTCTTTTTAGATAACTTCAGTATTCTACGTTCAATTAAATAAATGCACTTTATGTCTTAAGTTCCAATCCTGCAATGAGAGTGATTATTGTGACCTCCCCCAAGCTGTGAGCCAGTCAGCTATGGGCAACCTAGGCTGGTTTACCTCCTTGTGGTCCTTTGCCGGCTAGGATCATAAGGTTCCGGATTAGTCTCGGGTAACCAAGATACCGGATGTCAATAATAAAAAAATGATATACAAAAAGGAGGAAAAGGAGGGGAGGAGAAGGATTAGAAGATGTTTATAAATTATTTACTTTATACTCCCTCCGTCCCTTAAAACTTTGTCATCTTTTCTTTTTGGGACGTCCCAAAAAAACTTTGCCACTTTCCCTTTTAATCAATTATTTTGTGGTTTCTGTTATTTCTCTGTCCCCTGCACAAACCTCAACCACACAGTTTTTACTTTATTATTCTCCGTGCTGGTCAACTTGTCAAAGTTTTAAGGGACGGAGGTAATACTACGTATATTATTTAAATATTATCAAGTACGTACTCTACTATTTTGAGAAAAAATAACAAGATTATATTGAGAAAGTGAAGTAGTTTTAGTCATGATCAATTCATATATATATTTCTTAAAAGCGACACCACGTAATCATGTCTCATCAATTTCAATGGAGCGGATGTAGTATCAACCCAACAAGATACATTACCAATTCTTGATATACACACTCTTGTACACACCTTATACACACCATGTTTGTGAAGCTTTTTTTTGTTTGTAAATCCCGTTCACAGACAATATTTTGTTTGTGCAAAACATTGTCTGTGAATCGATATTCACAGACAAAAAAAAGCTTTCACAGACATAGATGTGTACAAAAGTGTGTATAAGAGTGTGTACAAACATCATTTTTGTAAATGTAATCACAACTTATTTAATTCATTTAATCATACACGGAGTATATATTACTCCGCAATATCACTAATGATGCTTATTATTACTGTGAAGCTTTAAGGTAGCAAGTAGAACAAGCAACAGAAAGAAGGTGGCGCCGGCAAAGGAAACAAATATAGCACCGCCAACTTGAGCGCAAAATTTTCCGAATACGTTGCACACCTTGTTCCACTGCAGATGAGAGTTGCCGGTGAAACCCAGAAGGCCAACTGCGGCAGCGGCTCCGACGCCGGAAAATAGAAGCACCATCATTAGTAGGTCTGATATGATGAGGAACAATGATGTCATCTTTTGTCCCCTGGCCACCACCATTAGGACCAGAGAAACAGCTGCGTATGCACATGCAATGCTATTCGCCACCACAAAGTACCTTGAACACAAAATGATGCGTAGTATAATTAAGGTTTCACCGGTCACTGATTAGCAATAATTACATACTATTACATTAAGGTACAACTCCCGTACCTTTCTAAAAAATGGGGTATCATACCTATCATTCATTTGATTGGACCTCATTACTTTATCATTTTTAATTTAGATTTAAATAATTCAACTGCTACATTCTTATTGATCCACGTGGACAAAGGTATGATACCTTATGAGTACCATAGAATCGGTAATTAAAAACAGAGAAACAGTTGCTAATGCACATGCATTGCTATTCACCACCACAAATGACAAACCTTCAACAATCACATTCGATTACATTAATTAAAAACGACCATATTGTTACACATTAATAATAGATTTAATATTATCGGATAAATTGACAACAACTTACAATATTTCATAAACAAGTAGTCATGACAGAAATAAATAATTATTACTACTTCCGTCCCTTTTTATTAAGTCATCTTTGACTTTTTCAGTCAAAGATGATAAATTTTAATCCATTATTTTAACTAATACGGAGTATATTTTATGTAAAACATAGTAAATTTATATTTTTACGATAGTATTTTCATATAATTTTCATATTATCAATATTATCGTTTATAAATATATAATCCGTCGAAGTTGAACAACTTTGACGAAAAATAGTGTTTGACTAAATAAAAATGGACGAAGGAGTAAGATTTAAAACTACTTCAAATATTTCATAAAATAACCGTGAGAAAGAGCATATATATACTTTCTCCATTCTTTTTTAATGCAACAGTCCACTTTTCATGTTTGTCAACCCACAAGTTTGACCATTAATATCTTTCATTACTTATTATTAAAAAATAAAAAAATTAGATTTTAGAAAATTTAAAATGAGAAGAATTTAACAATATTTTTTTAAATTTAATTTATAATATATTAATAAATAAAATAGAGTCATTGTTGAACACGTGAATAGTGGAAAAGGTGTTTGTTCCATTTGAAAAAGAACGGAGGATGGGACACAATGATTAAAATTATTAGTTGAGAGAACGAGAGTTTGAGGGTTGGACACTCTGGACAAGCAAGTTGAATAGTAGCTGGAAAGTTGAAATTAAATAGATATACTGTACAACCATATATGCATAGAAGACAGTTGAGCTATTATAAACTTGGATTTAGTATTGACATGTTGTACAACAAGAATTTTGTTGTTATATGAAATATTCTTAAATACTATCTCCGTCCCTTTAAATTGAGATAAGAGAAGGTAATACTATTATTAAGAAAAGTAGGTTTGTGTGGTTGATATTAAATTGATAAAGTAAGAATAAAGTAAAAAGTGCTTTATGAAACAATCTTAGTAGGTTTCCCGAAAAGGTAAAATGAGACAATCTTAACGGGACGGAGGGAGTATCCGTTATTGAGATAGATTTATGATATGCTAGAACAAAAAAAGTGCTACAAATAATAAGAGTAAAACAGGACTAAAACACGTAAATAAAATTACTCTTTTTTATTTTAAAAATAATACTTTTTCAGTCCTAATAAAATCATAAAAGTAGTTAAAAGTCTTCTTTTATGATCGATTCAATGATTTTTTATTTTGAGAAAAATATTGGTGCTCCTACAAAAAAATCAGTTAAGTTTTGGTATTGTTTAGGAAATTAAACTTTCTCAATATAGAATTAATTGTTTAAGTGAAAAAAAAAAGGTATGACCCATGTGAAGAAGGTTTTTTGAATTCTTTTTAGTTTCCCTTATAGAACATAATCTTATTGCGTACAAATTTTAGTGTACCCTTATAGAAGCAAAAAGTGGGAAATTCTACAACAACAAAAAAACTTTATTGATAGGGCGGAAAGGGAATAAATAAAAAGGAAAAAAAAGAAGATAAAAAAGGAAAAAAGTCGAGAGGATAAAAACAAAGAGGGGAACTTCTAGGCAAAAATATGTGGAAATGGTAGATAATACTCTCCCCGTCCCTTAAAACTTTGTCAACTTTCATTTTTTGGATGTTTCACAAACCTCTACTACACACTTTTTTTTTTGCTTTTGTTGTTTAAAAATGATAATAACTTTTTTATTTTTGATCCGATTTTTATAAAATTTATATCAACATTTTTTATTTTTCATGATCTTTCAAATGAGACCAATATTGCTTATGTAATTTTAAGAAATTATCGAACCATTATATTAATGAGTATTGGATTATAAGGAAAATCGAATCTGTTTGGGAGATGATAGGTTTTGAAATAGAAGATCGAATCTTTTTTAGAGTGGATCAGTGGTCTCAGTTACATTTGATAATACATTGAGTTACATCTTTTTATGAGCGAGTTACCTCTTTTTATAAACAAGTTACATCTTTTTATAAGCGAGTTACATCTTTTTATAAGAAAGTTACATCTTTTTATAAGCGAGTTACATATATATACACACGAGTTGCATTTGACATGCCTGAACGCGACTTACATATATTTACACGTAAAGTTACATATTTTTACTAGGGGTGGGATTTTGGAACCGGGAACCGTAGAACCTGTTGGAACCGAACTGTTATAACCCGGTTCGGTTCCTACAAATGTGGTATTAGTTGTTAACGGTTCGGTTCCTAGTTGTTATTAACGGTTCAGTTCCTGGTTTCTATAAAAAATATGTGCACAGAACCGTTAAGGAACCGTTATTAAAAAATAAAAACAAAAATAAAAATAGTAGTGATAGTAATAACAATAATATCAACAATAACAATAATAGTACAATCAATGATATTTAGCCAACAATTCTAATTTAACCAACGAAAACAAAAGTAATCAATATTGCACAAGAGATTGAATACGTTAAGCTCATTTTTACAAAATCAAGTTTTGTTAAATCATATATATTTTATAAATATAAAATAACTCAATTAACTTGTAGTTGATTGCATATATTTTACTTCACTATCTTCATGATATTTGTAACTATTATATTTATTGTAAATTATACTACTAGCAAATAGACTACAATGATAATTCTATAACTATACATGCAAACTCAATATATTTTTTAAGTTTTTGAAATACTTGGAGTGGACGTCATATCTTACTACTGTGATGATGAACAACCTTCCTATCTTAACTAAGATTTTTATGTTCTACTTATTAAATGAAAATTGAAACTTTCTTTTATTCTATTAAGTGTTCACTTAATTAAGTTTAAGCTTTGATGTTTCAAGTTATTAGAACTTTAAATAAAATTTTAATACTTGTGTTTGATTTTCTTTTTAACATTTTAATGTGGTAGAAAGCAAATAATGTGCCCATTTATTAGATGAGGAAAAAATTATTCGAGGAACCGATAAAAGTAAGAACCGAACCGTTTAGTATTGGTTCGGTTCCATAACGGTTCTTGATTTTTTACACAAGAACTGAACCGATTTCATTAGTTAAAATTTTGGTAACGGTTCCACCAATTTTGAGTAAGAACCGAATCGGTCTCAGGCCTAATTTTTACACGTAAAGTTACATATTTATACACGTGAGTTACATATTTATACACACGAGTTGCATTTGACCTGTCTGAACGCGAGTTACATGTTTTTTTACGTAAAGTTACATATTGTCACACGTAGAGATACATATTTATACACACGAGTTACATTTGGCCTGACTGAACGTTAGTTACATATTTTAACACGTAAAGTTACATATTTTACACGCCAATGTTAATATGTTAAAATTACATAGGCAATATTGGTCTCATTTGAAAGATCATGAAAAATAAAAAATGTTGACAGATTAGGTGTGATTATTTTTCGAAGATTGACAGATGATATGTGAGATTGTTTATTTTCTTCTCCTTTCGGACCAATGAATCATATTTGGGGTGTAAAAACAAGCTCGATCATTTCCTATGAGCCCGTTTGGTAACACGAAAATCAGCTTATTCTGCTGAAATTTATGAAGTTCTGGTTGAAGTGGATGCATTGATTGATTCTGCTGATTTTAACAAAATATTTTTGAAATATATTTTATTAATAAAATAATTAAAAAAATATAATAGTACGTAGTATGTAAAAATAACTAAAATGCTTATCTACGGTAGCTTCAGCCAATACAGTCAGTAAAGTAACTTCAACCTTACTTTTTTTTATTATTACCCAATTCCGCGCGCAAAAATAAAAGTTACGTGTTTAGTGAAAAAGTTGATTGATAAGCCGAAAAACAATGTTACCAAACGATTTCTATATTTATCAAAATAACTCATTCTAGTTTGGAGGAATTTGCAATCGGTATATTCTTTCATCTCAATTCTCAAGTAATGAAACAAGTACTTGAGGTAGTCAATTTAATTTGTTTTAAAATATAATTCACTCATTCTTAGAAAATAAATCATCCACTCTTTAATTTTTAGGATGAATATATCTCAAAACAAAATCTATTCAATGATAGAATTGAAGAAGCTAGCCGGCAGGCATATTACATACGGAGTGGTATATATACTTACACGAAGGCAGGCATGTATTTCCAATTGGCGGTGACCGGAACACTCACCGGCGGCAGTGTCGAGACAATCTGTATGTCTATAAGCTTAGTCTGCTTGTCTACTCCCAGAACTAACGCCGCCGCAAAGGTGTTCGCAAAGGCCAAGACCCTCACAGAAAAGTCTGCCCACCTTATGTTTTGCTGGTTAGCCACCGCTATATCTTTCTTCTCGCCGCCGCCATACTCCATTCTCCGTTAAGTCTAGCTAGTGAGCATCCACGGATTGTTAAGAAATAAAATAAAATAGCGCGCTTTGAATATAATATAATGGGAGAAGAAAACAAACATACATGCCAGAGTTTATATAATGGGAGAATAAAACAAACATACATGCCAGAATTTTTATTGCATATAAAAAATTGTACTCCTCCCGTGTCTCGTGGTTTACATGCCAGATCAAAGTTGACTTTCACGTGGATTAATAAAGTTAAAAATGTGTGGTTGAAATTTCTGCGGAGGAGAGAGAATTAATTTTAGGCACATATTCCTTACTTTAAATGGAAATGACAAATCTTTTTGGGACATCCAAAAAATGAAATTTGGCCAACCTTTTCGGGACGGAGGGAGTAATTTTTTATTGCTTAATTTTTTTTAGCCATTTTTTTCATTTTACATATACAATAATACAATATTGGTATCATATGAAAGATCATAAAAATTAGAAATATTGATATACTTTTTGAAAAAATTGAACCAAAAAGGAAAAACTGTCAAATAGGTCCTCGAACTTTCATAAAAAAGTCAATTAAGTCCTTCTATAGGAGACTCTGTCCGGCCGTCGCGATTTGGGGCGGTCCCCGGTGGAATTTTTTGATGAATTTTTTTGAGCATCTTATTCATCAAGTCTAGTTTACACATTCCAAATTTCAGCTAAAAATTCAATTGGGAACGTATTCAAATTAATTCGAGAACGCAAAAATGCGCAGTTATCTTCACGAATTAATTTTAATGTGTTTCCGATTGAATTTTTTAGCTGACATTTGGAATGAGTATGTTGGAAAATTTGAAGTATTTCAAATGAAAAATAAATATATAAAACTAATTTTATTATTTTAAAACATATGGATTGCTCCTCCTTAGCCATGCACGTTATTGCTAGCAAGATATAGAATTAATATCATTAAATAATAATACTTACTCCTAACGGCTTTAAGAGTTAGTGGGAGGAGTTTTTTTTCAACTTTGATTTCAACATTAATTATATTTAACAATATGAACGTTAGTACTTAGTACTCAACGTTCCACTCGAGCATGCAATAACGTTCAACTTATTATGTGTATATAAATAGATGTGTTCGGCCATGCTAAGAGGGTTAAGAGAAAAAGATTAGTTTTGGAGCTAAACATCCTCTAATATTTTCAGTCTGCTGGATTAATAATTTTCTGCTCTCGTTGTTCTGTTACCGGCTTACGCCGAAGAGCTCGTTTTATCTTGGGGAAAGATTTTCGCTAGTCGGAAATACTTTCTTGAGGACAACGTTTACGCGACTCGAGCTATATTATTTTCTAACGATTTTCTGCAGGTTTATCCGACCAATTTCCACCAACAATCTCAAGAAAGTATTTGGCGTCAGATATGCCTGCACACATGATCTCACAAGGTGTCGTTGTCGCACTCATCGCGGCTATGCTATTTTTGCATGTGTGGTGCGATTTAGAGTGGTATTTGGACATATCTCTACGTATAATGCTTACTATCTTTATTTTTCTACTTACAATAACCCATACTTTAACACCATTTTTTAATAAAATTGTTATTCTTTTATTTAGTGGTAAAATGACAACTAGGGAAAACAACAACCCACTCAAATCAAGTTTAAACTTGGTTTGTAGTGATGACAATATTATTGCGGTTGTTTCTCAAAGTTGTGAAACTAATGATGTGAATGAGTGGGTGGTAGACTCCGGGGCTACCAAGCATATTTGTAAAAACAAAAATGCTTTTACCTCTTATACTATTATAGGAGATGGTGAAGAGCTCGTGTACCTAGCGGACTCTAAAACCGTTAAGGTGCATGGAAAAGGGAAAGTTCTTCTGAAGCTCACATCAGGGAAAACTTTATCACTAAATGATGTGCTGCATGTGCCCGAGATTCGGACTAATTTGGTTTCCGTTTCTCTCTTGGGAAAAGTTGGGGTTAAAGTTTCTTTTGGTTGTGACAATTTTGTTATGACAAAAAATGACGTTCTTGTGGGAAATGGCTATTGTAAGAATGGACTTTTTGTGCTTAGTATTTCTGAAATATTGCATGATAATGCTTCAATTTATTTAATTGATTCTTACAATGTGTGGCATGCTAGACTAGGACATGCAAGTAATTCTTATATTAAAATGCTAAATGATTGTGGTTTGATTTCTAGTAAAAATAAAATGACACTAGAAAAATGTGATGTTTGTGTTCAATCTAAACTAACCAAAAAACCTTGTCCCTCCACATTTAGGGAATCAGAATTGCTTAGTTTAATTCACACGGATTTAGGTGATTTAAAAACTACCATCACTAGAGGTGGCAAAAAATATTATGTCACCTTTATAGATGATTTTTCTAGATACACTAAAGTTTATTTGCTTAAAAATAAAGATGAGGCTTTTGATAATTTTTTGGTGTATAAATCCGAGGTAGAAAATCAATTAAATAAAAAGATTAAGAGAGTTAGATCGGATAGAGGGGGTGAATATATTTTATTTAATGAATTTTGTGAAAAAGAGGGGATAATTCATGAGGTCACTCCGCCATATTCACCCGAATCTAATGGAATAGCTGAAAGAAAAAATAGGACACTAAAAGAGATGATGAATGCTCTTTTAATTAGTTCCGGTGCACCTGATAATCTTTGGGGGGAGGCTATTCTTTCTTCTTGTCACTTACAAAATAGGATTCCTCGTAAGCACAATAAGAAAACCCCTTATGAATTGTGGAAAGGGTTTGCACCTAATTTGAAATATTTGAAAGTGTGGGGGTGTTTAGCTAAGGTCTTATTGCCTGATCCTAAGAAGAGGAAAATTGGTTCTAAGACTTCTGATTGCATGTTTATTGGTTATGTTGAATCTAGTGCTGCCTATAGATTCCTTGTTTTGCAAAGTGATGTGCTTGAATGTGATACAATTGTTGAAACAAAAAATGCTGAATTTTTTGAAAATGTGTTTCCTTTGAAACGTGAACACAAGACCATTGCACCATATAGTGAGTATGATCCATTACAAGGAAATGAAACCTTTAATGATGATTCCTCTAGTAATTGTGATCCATTAAAAGAAAATGATACTTTTAATGATGAACCTTCTCTTTTGAGAAGAAGTAAGAGGCCAAGGATAGAAAAATCTTTTGGAAATGATTTTTATACTTATCTTGTTAACGATGAGCCTTTAACTTATTCACAAGCTATTTCTTCAAAAGAAGCTCCATTTTGGCTTGAGGCCATACAAAACGAAATTGAGTCAATCAAACAAAATAAAACTTGGGTTTTAACCGATTTACCAAAAGGTTGTAAACCAATCGGATGCAAATGGATTTTTAAAAGGAAATTAAACCCGGATGGTTCAATTGATAAATATAAGGCGAGACTTGTGGCGAAAGGTTTTTCTCAAAAACAAGATGTTGATTATTTTGATACATTTTCACCGGTAACACGTATTTCTTCCATTCGAACTTTAATTGCCTTGGCTTCTATTCACAAACTTTTTGTCCATCAAATGCATGTTAAAATTGCGTTTTTAAATGGTGAGCTAGAGGACGAAATTTATATGGTGCAACCGGAGGATCATGTAGTTATTGGTCAGGAACACAAAGTGTGTAAGTTGATCAAATCTTTATATGGTTTGAAACAAGCTCCAAAACAATGGAATGAAAAATTTGATGAAGTATTATTTGCTCATGGTTTTACCTCACTAGAAGTAGATAAGTGTGTATACACTAAATGTGAAAATGGTGTGTGCATTATTATTTGCTTATATGTGGATGATATGTTAATTTTTAGTAGCAACCTTGAGCTAATAAATGAGACAAAATCCTTTCTTGCTTCAAAATTTGTTATGAAAGACTTGGGGGAAGCAAAAGTGATTTTGGGTATGAAAGTCATAAGGAAGGATGATGGTATTATACTGTCTCAAGAGCATTATGTTGAAAAACTTCTAAAGAGGTTTGGACATTTCGATGTCAGCCCCGTGAGCACCCCTTATGACTCTCATATACAATTGAAAAAACATAGAGGTGATCCCGAGGCTCAATATGAGTATTCCCAAATTATTGGAAGTCTATTACACTTGATGAATTATACGAGGCCCGACATAGCTTATGCTGTCGGAAGATTGAGTCGATATACTCATAATCCAAGTGGGGATCATTGGACCGCGTTGAGGCGGTTACTTAGATATTTGAGAGGTACCATTAATTATGGTATATTTTATAGTGGGTTACCCGCTGTACTAGAGGGATACAGTGATGCTAACTGGGTCTCTGACTCAGATGAGATAAAATCCAATACTGGATATATATTCACCTTTGAAGGTGGTGCCATTACATGGAAATCAACCAAACAAACTATAATTTCTAGATCTACTATGGAGTCCGAGCTTATTGCTTTGGAAGTGGCTAGTAGTGAAGCGGAGTGGTTGAAAAATTTCTTAGCAGAAATTCCGGTTGGTACAAAATCAACACCATCTGTGTCTATTCATTGTGATTGCAGAAGTGCAATAGATACTGCTAAGAAAATGTGTTATAATGGGAAGAATAGACACATTCGTTTAAGACATAAAGTCATTAAACGGTTATTGAAGAATGGAATTGTGTCCATTAATTTTGTGAGCTCACAAGGAAATTTAGCGGATCCTTTGACAAAAGCCCTAGGACGAAAATTGATAACCGAAACATCTAAGGAAATGGGACTTGTGTCACTTTGAAACAAATGGGGATGGGAACCCAACTTGTGTGATTGGAGATCCCATGAAGCAAGTTCAAATGGGTAATAACAAGTCTTTCGTTTAGTTCTGCTAGCCTAACTAAAATTCCCCATTTCCATGATGTGAGATATAGGCTAGAATCCGCATTCTTTGAGAGGGTGAGCTAAAAGCTCTTAATGATTATCATAGCCCTTAATTTTAGGGTGGTGTGCAAAAGCGGTTCACACTTGATGATATCACCTATATGAGTGTGAGGTGGGGCCGCCTCCATGAAGCATGACAAAACTTCTAGAGCACTCATGAAAACCAAGCACGCGCATGGCCTTACGGCGCACAACGGCGTAATAACGAGAAATTGTGCGGGGTGAGACACGACCGTTAAGTCCCTGATTTACCAATAGTAGC